TGGGGTGCAGCGATGCGCGCGCGCGTGTGTGTGTATGTGTGTATGTGTTTGTGTGTGTATATGTGTGTGTGCGCGTGTATTTTGTCGTTGCTCGTTTTGTTCGTAGCCCCGATACTATTTTGGACCATCAGCCGTGCATTGGAAATCAAAGAGCAGGTGGTGTCTTGGGTGTGTGGACCTGGGTTATTACCGATCGTTGAGTATTTATTTGTTTCATTTTATTTTATTTTATTTATTTTTTTTTTGTCAATAGAATCACCAAACATTCACTCTTAGTGTGACGTACGGAAGTACTTTTTTTCACGTAACACTTACCAGCGAATGAGCATCGAGGTTGACTCAAGGGGTTGACTTTTGGGGTCTTATCTGCGTGGAATTCGAGGTACAATCAATGTAAATGCACGATCTTCTCGTCCAAGTTACACAGGCTAAACTGGTGTGTTTTACTCGTACAGTTTCAATTTTAATGTCATTTATTTGCAAGTCAAATACACCACATTAATGAATTTGAATATAATTGTGTAGTAAATCTATTTAATTACCACCAGTAAAAGCTGCATATTTGAATTTCTATGAAATTCTCGAATAAATGCGATATGATTCTTGAAATTTATTAAGAAAAAGTATTTTCACTTTTACTTATTTCTGCGTCGCGGTTACATAAACGCATGTGTCGTACATTACAAATGTACATCAAATCGTGTGTGACGTTTTTTTTATTATGATTAACAATTGATTAATTTGACATTAATAATTAAAAATCCAAGACACTGTTCATCGTTATCTCGTAAATCACTGCCAAAAAATGAAATAACTCAAGTAAGGTATTGATAAGCGAATTATTTAAAGTCTCTTTTTTATAATTATTACACTAATATTTAAAAGACGTACTACTTGTGGTTTTTTCTTGTATTTTCTTTTCGTGCGCTTCGCCGCTTCGTCATATTTGTGATGAAATATATGTATGCCATATCGGTATCATCATGTTCTGTAGTATTGCTGTTGATAAGAAAGAAAATGCTAAGTTATTTACGATCATTAACAAAATCTGACTATATATCTACCATCGATAATTCATGGTTATATATTATGTAGTCATCAATCATGTCGCACATAAATATGCTGCAAGTATGTAATTTAAGTTTGCGCTCTACGTTACCATAAGGTCGGTAAGTCAACTACCTTGAATTAAACTAGCGCTCTCTATTTCGTAATCTGCAGCTGGCCAGTAAAAACAGCAGACGACGTGAAAGTCGAGAAAAAAGTGAAGATTTCATCGCTGTTGACTGTCGTCTGCTGTTTTTACTGGCCAGATTACGGAACAGAGCGCCAGTTAATTCATAGTTGAATTGCCGACTTGACGGTAACGTAGAGCGCAACCTAAATTACTTGCTGGTGACGATTGCGGAACAGCCTCTGATTTTATCATTCTGGTAAAGAGAGCACGGTGTAAGATGTACGTGAAGTTATGTGTAGTAATTAAAGTAATTAAAGTAATTATTACTTAGTAATGCCATATGGTCGATATTATTAAACCATATAAATATCTATACTTTTGGAGGTCGTTTTTTGGGTAAAAAATAGATTGTAAACTTGCACCGCAAACAGCACAGATCACGTCAACTTTTTATAATTTATCTACAAGATTAGTTGCGGCTGGTTTATAATTGATTAAATGGCTCTAATATAAGAAGTAATAATTATTTGGATCAGCGCCATCTAGCGGTCTTTATTTTTTGGCCAAAAGTAGCTCCTAAAATTCTCAATCAGACCAATCAGGATTAGAGCCACTTAGTCAATTATAAACCAGCCGCAACTTATGTCAAAGCTATAAAATGAAAAAATAACGATACGTGTATTTTTGGCGGCAAGTTATCAATTTATCTTTTGCTTGAAATTTTATCTTCAAAAGTATAAACACTTGAGAGGTCGATTTTTTGGTAAAAAATAGATTGTCAACTTGCCGCCAAAAACACATATATCGTTATTTTATTATTTTATAGCTTCGTCATGAGTTGCGGCTGGTTTATAATTGACTAAATGGCTCTACGCGCTAAAGCTCTGGTTCAAAAGTTTAGGGCCACTTTTTAGTTCAGAAATTTGCAACGCTAGATGGCGCTGATCTAAATAATTAATGCAACTTACAGAAAAGTCACTTTATTAGTTATAAACCAGCCACAACAAATCTTATAGATAGATAATAAAAAGTTAACATTTTTTGTTCTACTTGTGGCAAGTTTACAATTTGTCTTCTATCCGAAAATCGACCTCCAAAAGTATAAACATTCTAATTATCATAATATGCTTATAAATTGATAATATTTACAAAATTTTAATATTCTAGACCTTTTGCCATTAACTCATGTAAGCACAAATTAATCAGTCCAAAAGAGACAACCGAAGAAAAAAGGCCTGAAAAAGAAGCAGTCACACGAAGAGTCTCCTAGGAATGGAGCATTGGATCTCACTTGATCAGAGAAGGTTGGGTTCTTTGTTTACTTATAACACTTCAAACCATGGTGTAAGAATAGACAGGTGGGCCGAAGGCCCGCCTCTATCGAGTCCAATTTGTGTCGCAGTACATCTAAAATCCGCTAGGTGGTTTCGAGTAGTAGAGGCAGTTTTTATAATGGTCAGTATGACTATATAAAAAAAAAAAAGAAAAAAAAAAAAAAAAATTTTCATACTATCAATGGCCTGCACGACACGGATCCCTCTGGTGGCTAGTATCGGTACTGCGACAAAATTTGAACTTTTTTTACAATGCGTTGAGGTAGGCCTTCGGCCCACCTGTCTATTCTTACACCATG